AATTCTTGGAAGCTTGGTATTCAGACAAGGCAGCCATCAACAGGCACATAGAGATAAACAGGATCTACATTAGGACAACATCTAGATTAAATTTTTCCTTAAATGTATTCCTGTATTGTAAATTTCAGCAAAGGCATACCCGTAAAAGAGCCACAGAAAGACTTGCTTTTGCCAAATGCCAGTCTTTTAAGTAAGAAAACCTTTGGATGATCTGTTCTACAAACATTCAAGTATTTAACTGTGTCCTAAAGGTAACCAGGTTTGTGTTCTGAGTCTTTTAGAGACTTACTACAGACAAGGGTCTATTAATATTTGTTCTCATTTGTGCTCACTTAGTTCTTCCACACTCCTGCAGAGCAAGTCCTCTGGCATATGCAAAGGGCTCCGAAGAAAATCAGAAATTTCTATCACTCAGCCTAGACCTCAGACAATCATAGGAATTGTTCAAGAATTTGTGACCATCTAGTGGCCTGCTGGAATTTTGCAGACCAGATCCCATATCCCAACAAAAGCATTCATGACCACAAAGTGCATTGAGATTTCTATCACAGCTGGCAATAGACAAAATCACTACCCTAGAATGTGGGGAATAGCATCACTACTGAAACTGTACTTTGGGGGCAATGTGCTTCAGAGATACTCTGTTGTAAAGTAATATGGTATTCTTGAAACATCTGGCAAGGGGGATACAGTACATGCAAGATCTTGAATTTGAATTGCTTCATACTGTATACCATCTTATGGAAACTAATTAAGGCTATGATTCTTTCCTTTACCTCTAATAAGGCAAAGTAGGTATTTTAGTTGGTAAAAATTCTATAGTTAATAGGCATTTTGTAAAACAATTATACCAGCCTCTAGTATATTTACAAAAATGCAGCTAAAGCCCACATAAATACCACAGAGTATAGAAATAGTGACTTGAAGAGAAGAAATGCCAAGATAACTTTGGTTAATAAGAGGTGGTGGTAAGCAACCTCACCAGTTTGTTATTCAATTCCTTCCAATTCTTCCTGATCTAAAGGACATTTCACCGCAATGATCAGGAACTGTTTCAGTTCTTGTAAGCTGAGGTTTTGTCACTCGATTGCCTTCTGGCAAATCAGGTTTTTTACTAGCCACACTCACCATAGAGGTTAATTGGTGAACAGGTAGGTGTTTTATGAGAGCATGCACAAGATGTTACCAAAATTTCAAATTTATATCCAGCCCAAAAAACCCCTCCCTTCAGTAATTTCTGGTGAAAATATAAAATCTCTGAATTCAAGACGAAAGGAGGAACAGATTTTGAGGTCCAAACTTTTCTTCCTTTCACCCCTTCCCTTTGCATGAGGGGAGGATGTGCATTATCAGCTCTCAACTTTAAATTCGCAACCCGAATTCAGAACTGGATGTTGAGTCAGCCAAGCTGTTTTTAAACACACCTGTAGTTGAACTGTTTTATTCTTCGCTTGGCCATTGTGTTTGTAAATATGAATAGAAACAAAGTTATTTTACCTAATGCTCTGCTCTTGTGCGACACAAACCAAGATTGCAATCCTAAAGTTGCTTATTTGAAGCCGCTTCTGAGTACACTTAGGTAGCATTGGGACGCGATCCTATGTGCGTTCCCCTGCTAAAATTAGTGGGAGTTTGCCAACAATAAACAGGCGCAGACCAGAAACGTAAGCTACGAAAGTATGTTAAACGGCTTGCGTTCTTAACTCGAAAGGCCCCAAGAACATCCATTGCTTTGCCACTCTAGCATCCACAGGCGTGCAACTCTCTGGTTCCCCGCTGTGGCTACTGTAGACTAAGTGAAAGGAGAAACTCTATTGTCACAGGCGGTAGCACACTCTAGCACTGGCCTCCGGCGCACTCTATAGTCACAACCCGCCCACCAAGAGCAACCGCAGGGTAGCGTCCCCCTGGCGGGGACTAGTTTGGTAAATGCTGACAAGTACCGGTGGCTCCGGTTTCTTGAGGCGTTAGGGCGATTCCCTCTGGGCAACGCGAAGCCGAGGCGAAGCCCGGGAAGCCTCTGAGGTAAAAGCGGGCGCGACGGCCAAGCAACTCAATCAGAGCGCGAAGCAGATCGGACGCGACTGAACCAGCGAGCGCGAGCGGGAAGAGGAAGGAAGGGAGAGCGGGCGAGGGGGGGGAGAAGCGGCTGAGCAAAGTCCGGGGACGGCTAGGCGTTGGGCGACCCCTTCCAGGGCACGCGCGTTTGAAAAGGCGCGAGACGCTGGTGGGCTTAGGAGGCGGTTGGAATTTGGCGGGAGGGAAGCCAGCGATGCGCCGTGTTCACACCGACGAGCGCTTAGACCTTCGTCCCCAGCTGTTGCACAAGCACCAGGACTCGCCCACTGACATCCTCCTTTCTTGCCGTGGCTTATCAGTCCGAAAGATTATGGTGCCTAGAAAACCACACAGAACTTGCCTAAGCTCTCGCTCCTCGCTGGGCTCTGTCGGCCGCTTATTCCCCTTACCCTCCTCTAATCGTTGGCTTCAGGCGCCGCCAACCTTAACATGTGCCGACGCCAGGAGATAGGAGTACTTTTTAGGGCCAACGAATGTCATAGAAGTCGTCGGCAAGCTTCTCCGAGACTCCGTGACGCTGGCTTTATTCCCCACTTCCAGCAGATCGTCAAGTGCCAGAATCTACAATGTTGCATACCTTAAAATCCTGTAGGAAGAGAGCTGTGTTAGTCTGTGGTAGCCAAAAATTCAGGGTCACGTAGGAGCTTTTTCTATTAAAAGGTATATACTTTTGTGAACTACAACTCACTTCATCAGATGCATAGAGTGCCTAGACTCGTAGAATTTAAATTAGGATGGGGGAGAGTGAAGAGGAGGGAGACATGGTGGTTATGCAGATGACATGTAGGACAGATTACACATGCCTATCAATAACAATGATAATGTGGTACGTTATGTTTGTTGGGACCTTTGAGATAGCCTGAAACCTTTTGATGTATGTGAGTTCAGCAGAGTCTCACTCAGTTGTGCTGTGAATTTTCTTTGTTTCGGAAAGAGTTACTCTGAAATTTGTAATGGAGATTAAAATCTGGCCTCTCGGATTGAAATGTTGATATTTGTTCTTTTGAGTCCTAATGTCAAACCTGTGACCATTAATTCTTTTGTGGAAAGTTTGGCTGTTTGTCCTCCGTAGGATTCAAAGGGGCATTGCTGATAGATGGAGGAAGAGTGTGTGAAGGCACCTCTAATCTTATGTGTGAATTTGTTGGGACCTGTGATGGTGCTGTTGATATAAATGAGGGAGCAAAATAGACATCTAGGTTTGCTCCAGGGTCTGGTTACCACATTAGTATCATTTCCCTGTTTCTGATTACCTGTGAAAATCAGCTACAAGTTGGATGGTTGTCTGTATGCAAGTACAGGCCTGCCACCCAGTGCCTGAGAAAGTGCAGTGTCATTGTCCAGTATTGGTTATAGCTTATGAATAATATTCAATAATAATTGAATGACTTGAGCTATAGGTGACAACCAATAGTGTTGTTTTTGTAGTCTATCTTGTAATAGGTCCTCCCTGGAATTGACCTGGCTCTATTGATTTCTCTGTTACACTCCTCTTGTATTAAAAAAAAAAAAAAAAAAACTTTGCTACACATTTCACATGGGGAAGGAAGGATTGCAGAATCTTTTCCCCCAGAAGTTCTTCCCAAGGAGACTTGCCTTGATACCAACTGATATGCTTTTGATGCCAGGTGGAGGCTTATTTTTTCAGGCTTTTGTTTAATGTTTACATAAATTATTGCAATTTTTTATTTTAAATCTTTATATCATAACTGTATAATGAATTCTTCAGTATAACTTGCAGGGTTTGTTAAAAAATACAACCACTGCTTTAATTGTGATGTTTATTTTTAGTCTCAGGTTTTTTTCAGTGTGGGTGTGTGTTTTGTGAGTAGCACAGGATTTTTTTAATACTGAAAAGTGGGATCCAAAGTCATAAAATAAATAAAATAAATGAGTGTGCTTAAAACATGAATGTAAAGAAATAGTGTTTGTCAATGTATGCAAATGGTTAAAACACTTAGGGAAAAATAGTATATTTCTGTATTAGCTCCTTTTTTTGATTCTGAGCATAGATGTCTCCTGAAGTTCTATCCCTTTCTTGAGTTGCTAGTTTTTTGCACCTAGCTCCTGTTGATGGGATCCGGAGTTCTTGTGCAAAATAAAGTAGATATTTTAAAGGCAAGTTCTTACATTATTTCTATCAAATGTAAACTAAGATATTGGCATACAGTGTTTTAAAGAGGCAATGTTCTAAAATAAAAGGGTGTTTTTTCCCAGCAGTCTCTATTACATCTTTTAGAAGATTAATCATGCCTTATTTAAAATTAATCTTATGTTTAGTATGCTGTAATATTATCTATAAGCTTACTAAATAGATTTCAACAAATAAAATAGATTCTGAACAGAATAGCGTACAGACTTCAAAAAGCATCGAAAGAAAAAATGGGAAAGTGAGAAGTTATTCAAGCTTGAAGTGATCACTTAATATTACATTGTTACAGAATAACAATTTTAATTTAATTTTAATTTAATTAAATAAATTAATGAAGTATAAAGCAAAAAGATATAGAAGGGAAATATAGAAATTTTAAAAAAAGAAGCATGCTACATAGAGTGTTCTGGATACAGAATTAAGAGCATCAGCAGAAGGTGCTGAATTGGAATAAGAAGTCTTGGGCTATGCAAGATTTTAATCTGAAACTTGAATTGAAAATGGCCCATTAGTGTTTTAACAGCTACAGTTTTGTATCACTTGCTAGTATATTATGGCAGACAATGTTATTAGCAGTTTATCTCAGCTATAACATGGGAATGTTTTACCATTTTTTTTGGCTTCCTGAATTTCTGAGTTTAGGCCTATAATAAAATTATAACTGATACTTGGCGAGATTTGCAGTTTACCAAGCAAGGTACATGTATCCTATGTGAAGCTGACTCACAATACTGCTGATTCTTCATGGTTTGATGGGGATGGATATTTAGAAACTGCAAGCATACTGAATTTAGAGCTGAATGGTAATATGACTCAGCCTCACTAGAGGGAAAGAACAAGATGTACAGGACAGGTATAATCACTTGGATAGGCATCCAGATGGAGTTCTTGCTCATTGTAGCTTTAAGATGAGAAAGAGGAATGCTAAAAAGCAAATCGGTATTTATTAATTATTGATATGCTTTTTACTATTTAATTTTTAGTTAAACTAATAAATAACAGTAATCAAGAGCAGGTAGCAGCTGTAGTGAGGAGTGCTTTTGCACAGCTCCACCTTGTGTGTCAGTTATGACCTTTCCTGGATGGGATGCTCTGTTCAGGGTCACTTGTACCTTGATCACGTCTCACTTAGACTATTGCAGTGTATTTTATGTGGGGCTGCCCCTGAAGACCACCTGGAAACTTTAGCTGGGCCAGAATGCAGTGATTCTAGCAGTTATGGGTGCTAGTCAGTTTACCCAAATAACACTGATACCAGTATGTTTTTGAGTACAATTCAAGATTCTCATTGTCACCTTTAAAGATCGACATGGCTTAGGACCTGGGTATCTTCTGGACCACTTACTCTCATTAGTTTTTGCTTGTTTGTTAGAATCTAGAAAATAAGAATTTATCTGGGTCTCTACCCCTAGGGAGTGTAACCTGTACGGATTTCAGCATAGGCCCTTCTCAGTATCTGCCTCCCTTCACTGGAATAGCATTCCCCCAGAGATCAGATCCGCCCTAATGCTCTTGTGTTTCTGAAAAACAATTAACACCTTGCAGTTTTTTGGAGGGGTCGGGTCTGATGTGTTTGATATTGATCCCTCCTGCAGGGGGAGTGCTTATAGAGTTTAATTGTTCACTGGTGCATAGGGTATTTTGATTAGTATTTTTGTGTATTTTTAAAATCTTATTACTGTATTAGCATTTACACTACTCAGTCATGAGTGGAGCAGCATATAGCTCTGTTAAAATAAATAATACATGATCAAAGATTAAACCAATTTTTAAATTGAAAAATGAAGAAAAAGACATTTTTGCCATTGTTAAATAGGAAACTAATAGGAAAACTAAAAAGATTATCAACATAATTAGATGCAGAATTTTGGAAAAGATGGAAGGAAAGAAAAGAGGACATCCTGCAACAAAATGGATGGACTTGACTACAGTGGTGATGGGTGCACTAGTGAGAGACTAAAAGATCAAGCTGGGGACAAAGGATCCTGGAGACAGTCTATCTATGTGGCCATTAAATATCAACAACAACTTGATGGCGCATAATCAGTCAATCAATCAATCAATTAATCTTCTTATGCAACAAAATAGTACTTAGGCACAATTACTCAAATGCAGTAAAAACACATATGTGATGTGAAATCTATTGTGATATGTACATAAAAGTTAGCATAAATTACTCCTTTTAAAGAAGTGTTCTTTAAGGTGCTACAACTACTGAAGAACTCTAATTCATTTTTACCTTTCTAAAATAGCATTTGCATTGCCAGCTAATACTGGATTAACAGTATTTTAGATTTCTTAAATATGTAAGTAGACTAAGGATAACAGATTTTATTATTCAAATTATTCATTATATCAAAGTGCTATAAAAAGAGGAAGCTATTTTCTGAATGCTTACTAGCCCTTTGGCTAATAAGAGTTATGAAACTGCACTGAATGATTATTTCTTTCCATTTTAACAGCAATGGCCAGAAGTTGGTGTATATTTTTCCAATTCATTATATAATTCTTTAATATCTAAAGTTTTTAGTTTTAATCATTCATCTCCCCCATGCTATTTTTCTACCAGAACACCAAAGAATTAGCAACCCTGAATAAGTTTAATAGTGATGCCCCCACATACAAAAGAATAATAAAAATAGCTGTTTTTTAGCTGTTTCTGACAATAATTTTCTGACAGTGGTATTTTTTGCCACCTTTCTAGAATAACCAAGTAGATAAGGTACAAAGCAGAAAGTCCAGTCTTCAAATTCTCATCCTCTGATAAATTCACTACATGGTCTTGGATCAAGCC